TTCCGGCAGGACCAATGCACTGTTAATTTATTGTTTATGCCCTGTTAAGAATATAATTCACTAAATTACTGATTTGTGTTTTATATCAGACACAAAAAGAAGCATTGAGATCAAAGTCTGAGACATTGCACAGGTAATAACGTATACTATTCTTTATTTTGTATGTTATTTACTCCCTTGTTCTACTTCTTGCATAAATGTGTCTACGATATCGTGATTTTTGTATTGGTCTTTAATTGTATGAATGCCAGTGGTGTCTGGTTGGTAGATGACACGTTTATGTGTTGTTAGCTTGATAATTGCTATCTATATTGCATATAGAATTTATGTATCGTTGATTCCCCATCCAAGACTGCTGTCCAATAATGCCTTCCAATAGATCAGTGTTCACCATATATTTTTATGGGTATCAATACATCAGTATTACTTGGCTTGTAGTGTATACCATGTTTTGTGCTTCATTATAATGCATGGTATATCAGAATGCCAAATTATAGGAATGATGGTTTTTGTGATTAACAGTAAGAAGAGGCGGGTGAATTGGATATTAATGAACTGCAGTCTGTCGAAACTGACATTGATGAAAGGTAGGCTGGTATCAGGTTTATTTATGTCATTTGTTGGTTTTGAACCTTGTGAACAAATACTGTGGAATACTTTATTTTAGCTGGAATGACTAGTAATTTTCGCTGAAAAAAAACTATTTTGGATGTTTTGTATCAAATTTATTTTCACTGATTTTGGACGACTTGAATGTACAATCACAGTTGCTCTATCTCTAGTCTAGAAGCGATGAGCGTTCTTTTGTCTCGAACCTTGTTGTGGGTAAACAAACCTTTCGCATCTGGGCTGAGGGAGTCAGGAAGTCAGACAGATTACAATACCATCAGAATATTCATTAAAATCATCAAATTTACCGTCATACAAAGCAATACCTCATTGTATGACTTCATATTGACCTCAAATTCGGGCAACTACAACGTAAATAAAACATGTAAACAAAATTAGCACTATTAAATTTGGGGTTTTTGAACCCCGATACGCATCACAACCAGTCTACCAACTCATAAACATCCAGTTCCTGCCATGTAAAGATAAATATCAAGAATTATGTTCATCTTCTACTTTTAATAGGAAAAAAACGGCATGTACCAACATGCTGACATTCGCTAAACAAATCTTGTCAAAATGGTGTTCATGTTAACGAGGTCGATCGAAAAACCTGTGATATTTCTGATTCTTGGGGAGTTCATAACAATTCAGTCAACTATACAACAACTAATGACTTTATTCAATACACCAGTATAAAACAAAGTTTTAATTTTTGTATATAAATGATTTTTTTAGCACTGAATAGTGTACATTATCATTTCCAAACATTGCCATTTGCATTTACAAACGAAAAGAGCATTCATAAAAATCGCCCAATTTAACATTAATAAAATGTGTTGTGAGAAATAACAAATGACCCAACGCAGATGACCCAGCGGAGCTGTTGGTATGGGGGTTTCTCGGGTGTGTCTTGCGTCCTGTATCCCGCTTGAAGTTTTCCTTTAAATGACTTAATCTTCAAAAGTACTTGACCAATTACATTCATATTTGTATCAAAGGTACTTGAGGTGGTCCTCTGTCAGATTTGTTAAATTCGTGTCAAAGTATGGAAATTTTGATTTTTGGATGTGAAAAAGCTTGAAGTTGTAAAAAAACACATAGCACTGACGATGTCATAGTGACCAAATAGTGATCGGCTGTGTACTAATCACGTGACAATGTTTTGCCCATACCCACAACGCGCCTTTGCCAGGGAAGGAGACCAATTAACACCTAATGCAATGACCGTTTCCAGACCGGGGATGGAGGAACTGTGGTACAATGTAGAAAAAAAAAGTATATTCACTGGATTGTATTTTCACTGAATCATTCTTTCAGCGAAAATAATGAAAATTTAATCCAAGCGAAAATAAATCATTTTACAGTATACAATTATTTGCTGTACATGTATATCACAGTAACTTGTGTCATTGTATACTGTGGAATACTTTATTTTCGCTAAAAAAGCTTTTTGGGTATTTTGTATGGAATTTATTTTCACTGATTTTTGACGAGTTTAATGTCAAATATAGGAAAATAAGTATATTCGCTGGATTTTATTTCCACGGAATCATCTCTTCAGCGAAAATAAATTCCAAGCGAAAATAAAGTATTCTACAGTATCTAAAATTCACTGCTGTTCCATTGTTTTCAAGTTGTAGATAGTGAAAATAAGAATTGAATGTTGATGTGGTCAACTATTTATATAAAAATGAAAGATGCACATGCTTCAATTTTGGAAAACAATTTGAAGATTAGGGTGTATTATATGCTAATGTAATAATCTTTGTGGTTGTTTGTCATCTATATGTCATGGGCTCTTAATAATGCAAAACAGGCCATTGTGTTACCCTTTTATGGAAGCTTTCAGAAAGTACACAAGTACCTGCGAGTTTTAACCAAGGTTCCCATTGAGTCTGTGGGTAGGGGTTGACGCTTTTCAGTGTTCAACCACAGGTAGAATTTGAACTTGGGTCTACCAATATTGAGTCTGATGCAAGAACCACTATGCTACCAGTGACCGATCTAAAAGTGTGTACTTTAACATCAAAAAATCAGCCTCTAATGATATTGTGACCATGTCTGTTGTTGTTGTTGTCGTTGTCATCGTTAACAAATTCTCCCTGTGTCCCTGATAACTCAACTAATTTTTGTCCAACCTTTCTCAAACCTAGTTGTCATATCAATCAATGTAAAATTGTAATCTAGCTAAATTTTGGTGTGTTTGGCGTGTATTTTTCAAGATGGCTATGGTTATAGCCACATGGAGAGGATGTATGTTAATGTCACAGATTGTTTACATATTCAGAAAAAACAAAATGTATATATTGTTTTTTCAGATCTTTGTGCTGTGTTAGGGTTATTGAAGAGTCCTTCTACGAGACACAAAAGAAGTTACAAGACAAAATGAAACAGTTGATTGTTGGAATTGAAAACATTAAGCAAGATAAGAAAAAAAAATTATCAGAAAGTATCACATTCATTGAAAATGAGTTAGAAGAGCTAAATAAGGTGAATTTTAGGGTTTTTTTAAAGTTACACTCAGAGATTGGTGTTTTTGGACTACTTTGTGTTTTGTTGGATGCTTTGAATATAAGGAAATTTATAAAGGACTCTTTTAGATTTACTCTAATTCGTAATTACTGTAGGCCACTCTAATTTCAATTGAATGACAATTGAAAACAATTTCGAATGAAGGGCTGGAAAAATTTTTGGAAATTTTACAGCAGACACTGAAATAAACGGATCAGGAAAACCAATGACAATCTCCCTTGCATATCATGTTACTTCGCAAGGTCTCCATCATGAGATGTCCCACATGTAATGCCTATGAAGAATCTTGAGTGTTTATGCATCTGTGTCCACCTGTATCATGTCGGCCATTTTGGGACCCTGATGCATGTTTGTTTTTAAGACCGGATTCAAATGGCCAGCGGCCGGACATTTTATTTTAATGAATGCTGTTCTAGAGCTATATTTTCATCCTGCCTTGATTGATCATGGTTTTATGTTATATATATAATTCGTACATCATATCACACATGTGCAGATCAGATTAAAAATGGCTGACTGGTGGCCATTTTGTTTTAATGAATGCAGTTCTAGAGTCGCTCACAGGGACTATGTAATGCAAATACTTGTTTAATATTCAAGTAGAGAATAAATCTGGTTTTATTAGCGAAAGTTGAAAAGTTTACAATATGTATCATACAACATTGTGTACTGTTAGGACAGTGATCGCCATGATGCATCTGCACAAAATATGGGACCCATATGAACAAATGTGGCAACTTTGATTGAAAAGAGACGCTATCAAGATTTAATGGGATGATTGTACTGTATCACAGAAGTCAGTGTGCATGGTGACCAGATAAAATCTTTCCTTTTGCCATTGGGTTGTGGAAACATCACCATTCATCAACACAGACCTCGCACATGGGTGGCGCGATTACCATATGATTGTTCTTTAACATATGCGCAACTTGTGTGCTTTTATTACAGCTTGAAGAGGAGACTAACAGTGTTCTCCATTCAAGTGATATCACTGTACTTTATAAGAAGATTCCTTTACTGGAAGAGAAGGTAAGTGTTTACCATACTTGGTCTTTCTACAAACACATCTCCAATAGAAGCGCAAATAATACAAATATTACCGGTATACACTGGATCATTAGATATAGTCTGACCTATTTCTGTCATTTTAATACGTGCATGTACTACTAAAACTAATGGTATATATGCAGTAAGAAATGCATTATAAGACAGGTAAATACATAACATTTGTCTGACCTGTACATTAAGTATATGGATATCCATCATTGTATTATCTTTACCTATGTCTAGTACTGTAAATGCATTAAATAATTATTGGGTTTTAATTTTCTATTTTCGCTGATAAAATCCACTAAATTAAATCTATATTAACATGTAAAATAACAATAAAAATCATTGTTTCCTTGACAAATTTCTGAACAAATTAAAACACTGTGAATATGCTCAAAACATCAAAATAGTGAAATAGTTTGTGAAAATAAATGTGTACTAAGTGTAACCTAGTCTGTACTGAACAGTGAGGAATTGGATAACAGTTCTTTGGTTTGAGTTTTTGTACAGGCAATGGAGAAAGACTGTTTGGCTAGGTTTAGTTATTATACAGGTTTCATTGCTTTTAACGAGTGCCATAATTATTTCTGCAAAAATGTTGGTGCAAACATTTTCTTGATTTTTTTTTTAATGTATTTTTCTGTATTTTATTAAAAATTGCACATCATCATTTAACAAAATAAAGTGTGGGTTTTATTTTGTGAAACTCACACTAATAGATTTTGCTCG